TGAAATTTCATAAAGTATTTTATGTAATGAAAAACGTAGTTAATTAAGTTTTAATGAAAATAACATAAAAAAAAAAATGAAATTCAATTTAGGACAAGGAATAGTTATATGAACGCTTTCATCAAATATATATTTAAGGTATTTTTAATCATCTCTAATAGTCTTTAAAGATATTTATTTCAAAAATACTTGTTTCAAAGATACTTGTTTATGGCTTTCTTTATTTATTATGACATATAAATAATTAATTAATGTATATGAATATGTGATAATTGTAGTTTCTATTAATTTAATTACATTTAATAAAGTAAATATATCGGATCATTAGTTATTTGTTTCAAAAGAGTAAATATGCGCAATTTTTACGAAAGAATCAACACAATTTATCCCTATGTAATAATGAATCTCTATATTAATATTAACCATAAAAAATCTCATGATTAAAGCAGCAGCTTTTCGAGTGTTGAATGGCTTTAAAATTAGATTACTCCGTGCATCATTTAATTTGAGTGCCATGCAAAGAGGTATGTGTATGGCTTGAGCTCACGAATTCGAAAATTCGAAGCGAGTGCTTAAACCACTGGACTATAACCACACTGGCCGCAAGCTTCTCTCTTCCGCCGATCACTGGCACAGTATCGATGTTCTAAGACTTTCCACCCACACTACCAACTAGGGGCATTTCCCAAGAAGTAGAATAGTCTCACTAATAATACCTTTATTATGCGCATAATACGTTTCCTGCCCGATCAATGCGAATTTTAACGAGTAACACATTTAATCAGGCTGTCGCGTAGTTTTATTAAATATTATTATATATTAGTTAAGAGTAAAACATGTAAGGCAAAAGAATTACAACTAAAATTAATACGAATTGATTAAATCTTTTGTTCGCATAGAATTATTTTACATAAAATAAAATAAAATATCTAATACAATGTTGTTCATAGTTATATATATATATATATATATATATATATATATATATATATATATACTAAAAACTAATTATATATTTTAATTTTATATATGACTACATATATTATTATAATTCATATTCAGAGGATATACTGTGTATTACTGTCATTGAATATTCATTTCAGTCCTAAACATCCTATATAAAAATTATATAACAACTACTATTAATTTACGTTATGTAGGTGAATTTTTATAATTATTATTATGTAATTATTCATCATATTCGTGCCAATATTAATAATAACTTAAATAATTGTTTTGATTCACCTTTCGCGTCTTATAAATTTCTAGTTTGCTGTATTGAATGCAAAATGTAGATAATAATTGATAATTTTATTATTTAAATAAAATTTTGATAAAACAAGCTGGAATAATAAAATTTTAGTTATAACAGAGTAACCATATTTTATTTGTAACTTGTACATTTATTTTTGTTCTATTTCGGTAAGATGAATTTTCCACTTTTATATATTAATATGGTTGGAATTATGTAGGGGCAATAGATAAGAACAATAACATTTAGATGCATAAATGAAATATTTAGAACATTTAAACGGGATATTAAAGCTTGAACAATGAGATTTAAATGGCTACACTAAAGAATACATATTGTATAGATTTAGTGCCATTAATACTTCTAATATTTACTATAAGTCAATTGAGTAACAATTTTATAATGCAGTATAACTTTATATTCTGATGAAAATTATCACTAAAAGGAATGGCCAATAATTTAAGAGTTTTCCAATATAATTTGCATATTTAGTAATGAATGAACTGTAGGACATATTCAATTTTTGTTATTGATCGAAAGTTATGATAATTTCTTTTTACAAGACGATTTCTAAGGATAATTATATCTAAAAGTAGTCTATAGTTAGAAAAAGTAATTGCAATGAAATTTATAATTCTTTGAATATGCAGATTTTTAACTTTAAAATTGAAGCTAATGAAATAAGATAATGAAATAGGTGAATGGATGAAATAAGATAATGAAACATGCGATGATAAACGAATGCAATAATTACTGAAATAATGTTGAATGAATTCATATTTTCGGATTTAATATTTCATTTAGATTAGTATTGGTAAAAGGATTTAAAATAAGCTAGGGACAAACATGTAACTATCCAATGAAGATACTTATACTACGAATATTTAATATGCGTGGCTCATATATATATATACATATATATATATTAATAAAATTTAATAATACGATAAACATGTTAAAATCAAATGTAATATTGTATAAATCAAAGTGACTACAGCTAAATTGAACAAACTTGTATTTTTATGATTTGAAAGGATGTATAACTTCGTGAATGATAAAGGGCATAAACTTTTGAGTGCACCAAGGCCGAACTTTGATAAGTATATTAAGAAGTTGAACTAAGAGATAGGAAAGCAAAAGGATACTTCGATTAGCTACTCAATGTAACGGAAAATATCTGTTGGTTATCAAAATATGAAACAAAGTGGCGATGAGAAGATGAAACGCAGCTGAACGTCATAATTATGTTCTAAAGCCGTTGAAAATCAGAAGGATTTATCATATATTTAATTTTAACAAGTAGTATAATATATAATAAGTAGATGAAATTCGTTCAATAATGTATCAAAAGGTTGATAGGAGACATTACCACGTCCATAGACCCCTCCATACTAATATGTTATAGTTCTGATATTTTTTTTATTATTTATTTATTGTTTTTTATCGATATAACATGTTATAGGGATCGATTAGAATTCAGTCATTCGGTAACACGGAATGCCTAGACATTTACAAGAATTTAATTTGATATTTAATTAAAATAAAAATTAAAATCATTGTCGTAAACAATTAGATATTATTATTTTGATGTATTGAATTTTTTAATAATACACTTTGGATATAAAATATTCATTTATAGTTAATGTAAGAAACCCAATCCTCTTGAAGTATAATACTTTATATGAAATTATGAATTATATATTCTCATTTTTGTATTATTTATCTATGAATCTAAATGATAATTACAACCTTTAATAATTTTAATTTAACAAATTTAATGGTATTTTTTTCAGAGAAAAACACAGTGAATTTAGAGTAATATCAATGTTATAATAGGAGTAATCATCAAAATTTATTATAAAAAGCCTCACAATGATGATTGCGACAGTAATAATGATAAAATAACGATTACCAAGCAATATTTCTTAAATACTGAATATATTAAAATTCTCATGTTATTATATTGTTTTTATACTTAAAACTCTGAAAATTATAATTATACAGCAAAAAATCTGCATGGGCAAGATTTTAAAAATAATAATATCATTCATTTAATCGCTTTCATGCATTTTGATAATCTTATCCTTACAATATAAATAATTATTATTTCATAGTTCGACGTATCATAGGAAACAAGAGGTGTAATTAAATATCTAATGCCGAGGGCAATGGAAATAATAACAGCGATACTAATTAATTTTTGTTCAGATACTTCAAGAGGTATTATTTGTAATTGCATCTTGGATATTTTATCGTATATGTTTCATCGACCAACTTTATTTAGAAGTTTATATTTCCATAATTGTATATGCAATAATTATATAATGGTGTAATTGCTGTAAATATTGTTTGTCGTATTGATTTTTTTATTAAATTTATTCTTATATAATATAGGCTTTTAGGAAAATGATCATATCGTATGAACATCGCTTTAATTGTTTTAAATTATAACAGCACGACAGAGAATACATTGATTCATTATGTAAATCATTGGCAGGAAACTCATTGGCGTATCTTTTTATTATTGATTCTACTACAATTGTTTACATTTTAATATTCCATTTGCACGGTTATTATAATTAATTCAAATAATTATCTTATTGAAATATATATATATATATATATACTTAAAGGAATATGTAAGGTAATTATTTCTCTTTTTCTTAAAAAAGTAATGAAAAATAAATTTTTAAATAATTTATTGTATCAATCACAGAATCAAGTTTTTCAATGCTTAATTAATACTACACGTTACGAGTTTTATAACTGTAAAAATTATTGGCCAATTTATATCGACTTTTATTCAATGTAATCATTTTAATTGATTTATAAATCAGCGTAGAATTTAAATAATTTCTGTTATATTTTTGGTATTTTGTTTCCATAACAAACTGAATGTACAAAGAAAATTAATCGAAATAAATAAGAAAAACATTGATATACTTTATATAAATAAATGAGGATTACAATAATTAATGAAGTAAATTATTTATTATAGAAAAGTACTGTCTGTTTTACTTACTTCGTGTAACATGTATTTATTACATATTTGTATCGATTAACCGTTAACGAAGTAATGAAAATTAATCAAATTTTTGGATTTCTTCAATTTTTTATATAAACCTGTAAGTACGGGAAGATAAAGGTATTTATGAGGGAGAAGCCATTTGAAAGTCAAGAATTCTGGCGGAACTCTTTATTTACATATAAAAAATCACAAGGACAATAGCGTGTAAACATTCATACATTTGACGTGATGACATATCGTAGCGTACTATTCTACCGAATGGAAGAAAAAAAAAAATAATAAACAAGTTATCGTATTGCCGGAGCTGTGGCTAATAGTAATTTGTTCGCTTATTTATATGTTTTTCAGTTTATTCCTTTTTTTTTTTTACACTCTAATTTCTCATTTTCATTTCCATCGGCGTGTTGATATTATATAGAAAAGAAGAAGCACAGTGACATTTGACACGCACGTGACACTCGACTACCGATGTTCCTTCGTCGGATTCATCCACGCATCGTGAATGTTAACATATACGTATCGAAGTGTATTTATATGTTGTTGTTGTTGTTGTTGTTGTTTTTATTTATTTACTTATATAGTCAAGAGATTGTTACATGCCATTATATGATTCGATTTTGATTTATTGTTTATTGTTAAAATTACGTGGGTGTCTTTCTACAAATATTATTTCGTTTTTTATATTATCTGTTTTGCTATATTAATTTTTTTTTTTTTTTATTTTTTATTTCAAGAATGTTGTATATAAACTGCGCATCTACGCATAAAATCATTGGGCATATAAAAAATTCGTTAGTAAACTTTATAAAATGTTTATGCTGGCCTGGCACTGCGTATTATTTCCTTCTCTCTTCCCTCCCCTTCCGGTTGCCCCCTCTCCCATCATCCTATAATATCTATGTTGAAGCTCCTTCGCTGATGCATTGAATGTTTTACCATCTTTTATCCTGATGCTTGGCTTGGCATTATGAGTGGAGTTCTATAACATCTTGCGGTTAACCTGCTCGTGTAAAAAGAAGATTTTCCATTAGTGTTCATTTTCTATATTATATTATTAAAAATATTGTTCTCTCTGTTTGGAGAGTATATTGTTATTTTATTAATTTTATTATATTAATGAATATTTTAAATAATTTTTTATTATGCATTGATATTAATTGTTAATATATATTCATACACGGGTACATGATTAGATTGTGGATTTAATAATGTTTATGAAATATTTGAAATGCTGTGAGATAAAGATCTGAAAGTCTATTTTCACCCGTTCGGATTTTTATAGATTTATATAAGTGAATTTGAATTTTCGATTATTTATTTAACATATATATATATTCTTTTTCTTCTTCTTCAGGCAATTTGTATTTTCCAAAAAAAAAAAAAAAAAAAAAAAAAAAAAAAAAAAAAAAAAAAAATTATCAATTTTTACATTAATATTTTTATTATGGAAATATCAAGTTTTGTGAAAATATTAAACGCCGCGATGCATGCCAAATTCCTTTGTACGCCTGTAACTTTTTCACTTAAGATTATTCAACGATAGCTTATTCCGTAACTGAATACTACTTCAGATAATCCTCAAGAAAAATACTGCTAGTTTGCTAAATCAATCGATATAATAATATTTTCTTCGTCGTTGCAGCTCGAGCTAGATTTTCTTAGCTGATTGTAAGATGTAATGAGATTGTAAGAGCGGCTCATTTCATCTGCCATTCAAATGATATCACAACCGAGAAATCACACTTAAAGTTCTCTTTTTATAATATCTAATTAATTTTTCTTTTATTAATAACGTCACTTTATTTCATAATTAAATGGATTGGAACTATGACGTCACAAAAAAATATTGATGTAAAAGGTATGTATTGTGAAGCTATTAAGAAATTGTTCACGAATATCCTTTTTATTCGGTATTTTGTTTAATGATTTCAAAAGATTGTTTGGTATTAAATATATTATGAGATAAAAGAAATATCCTCCAAAGTCATTAGCGTTCACATTATATTCAAATGCTCAAATTATACAGAAATGATAATTTGAATGTTGTATGAAAATTTATTCAGACTTGACATCAATAACATCACTATTCTTACATGAAATAATTGTATGCGAAGTTAACGTAAAATGAATGAAAAATGTTTACAATCATAGCGAGAGAATGTTAAAAGATAACGTTTAATCAAACTTTTCTTTAATACGAACAAATGATTAAATACTATAATGAGTCTTGGATGAAATTCTGTTAATAATAACCTTTAATGCATTTAAAACAAAATATAAACACGAACTTTTTATTCACTTTGGGGTGAGGAAAAAAATAAAAGATTCCAGCGTATTGCACGCAACCTTAAAGTGACATTCTCTTGGCAAATTTAGTATAAAAGATCTTGTGTAAAAGATAAGCCGCGCCTCTTCAGAAACTGCCGAGTCAACTAAGAAGAGATGCGGTATTATTGACTTTTCAGGCATTTTCTCGCTTTTCGCCCTGGTATTAAAGTTTTCGCATTAGCTTATAAATGCATTAGGGAATCAAGTATTACTGAATCGGCATAATTGAATGATTATGATTATGAGTAGATTGAAAGTAGCGAGATATTGATAATATGTTTGATCATTCATCATGTTTGGTATTAGTGGTATTGGTATTAGTTAAGTGAAGAACTCCAGGCGTTCAAATATATGAATTAAATTAGATTAAATTATAGAAAACGAAAGTTTTGTCTTTATTTATTAAATGTAGTTGATCAATTTAATAAATATAATGCAGAGTGAAAAGGTCTGTCTTATCAGATTATTTATTATTCCATTTATTGTTTCGTGAGAATTATTAAAAATATAACTGACTCTTCATTGTACTTAATTTAATTGTAATTAAAACATGCTGACTAACTGAATGAGCTTTTTATAATAATCATACGATCAGCATGAAATTTATCTATATTTTATGCTCATTAGCTTCATTGTAAAATTACGGATGAAGTATCATATGAATTTGATTTATAAAATATGTGTGATATTTGCAGTATGTAGTGACTTAAAGAGGATAATAAACATGTCACTCAACGATTGCGCAATGTCTTCTATAATATATTATCGAATCAATCGAATACTTTATAAAGTGGGTAATTTTTTGGAGCTTATAAACTACAAGGAATTCTGAAGTAAGAAGTATAATTTCTCAAATATTTCGAATTGCTCTCTGTGGCTGTGCTAAAAAAGCATATTAATTTTATCTGAAAATGTAGGCCATTGTATAAGTCGATCACTAGCATAAAAGTCAATCTAAGGAATCCTTGCCAGAGCTTGCATTTCTATAACTAGTGGGGCAATTTATTTACACGATGCATTAAGCTCAATTCTCATTATTACACTATCGACTGTACTCGGATGGATAAGTAAAGAGATACTCGAACTAGATTGTTGTTAACTAAAAAAAGTTCGGGGAGGTAATACAAAGATTACATACTTCGAATAACTCGTTAACAACTCATGTGAATAATTGAACGACACAATCAACAGTGCCTTTATGTAGCTTTAGACTTTATTTCGTATTCTACGTAAGAGAAGCTTTAAGCGTACAATGACTTTATTAAGAATTGGGAAAATGCTTGAGTATTAATTACGAAAAGTTAACATCCTCGACCTAGATATTCCACTATTATTAGAACTTGGGATTATAATTGGCCATTCCTGACTGGCAAACCATATTTTACGTTCTTCTGAATCGATATATAGATATATTTTATTATATAATCATTCGATATAATTAAGCATAATATTTATAGGCTTACATGCTATTTTCTTATTAGTTGTTGGCTTATTCGATACATCATGACTAATGGAACGGGGGACTTTTTATATAATCATTTGGAATAATTTATAATTATTTAGAAAAATCCAAAATCCAGATATAATATTGGAAGAGTAGTAGCTATTCTATACAAGAGCATTGAGAAAGATATGAGAAAGATATAAGATATGATTATTTTCGTCGTTAATAGTGATTTAATATGCGCAACACGTTTTAGAATCTGGATAGATTTCAAATGAAAAATCGACGAAAATTCGCATCAGTTTTAAGCCCCAGTGACACTATATGAAGGAAAGATATTAGGAAAGATCCGATAAAGGACTATCGGACGTCACTCATTTTGATTAGCAGCTGATAAATATCATCGATCCCTAAGAATACAGAATGCTCCGAAAGTCCAAATAATTCGCGATCGTTGTCTTTCGTCAAATTGGCCGAAATTGATCAGGAAGTAGAGAAAGCTCACGGTATTGTAATGTAACGTTGACGTAAATCGTATTAACGTGAAACGGATTTAAATCGGGGTCGTCTAATCGCCGGTGATAGGGTTTGCAATTATCAAGAGCTTCTGAAATGCTTCAAACGTGCATTTGACATTGTGGTCGAGATCGATAAATGTCGAGCGAATGCTGCTGCACATATAGACAAAGCATTCCCCGACAGTCTTGGGACTGTCAATTTAACAAGCATTATTGGATATTACGAGATACGCGAGGAAGCCTTGAATCCATTATTAACGACGATTATCAGGATGCTTCCGACGAAATTCAAATGCCATTATTAAATTTTTCGATAATAAGCTTATTTAAATTTAAGCGAGATAAAATTACTTATCATTAACTATTTCTCTTCATTTTTTAATAGTAATAACAATAATAACAATAATAATAATAATAATAATAATAATAATAATAATAATAATAATAATAACAACCTCTATCTGCCTCCTTACAAAATGCCAACAAAATTTGCATATTTTACCAGATATTCATAGAAATGCATACTCCCGAATACCGAGTCAGAAGGGTCGGAGGAAGTGGTATTCGTACGTAGCGGGCAAGCAGGAAATGTGAGAAAAAAGAAAAAAGAAAAGAATAGAACAACCCGCTCTGTCTGTAATTTGACAGTCCGCGAAAGTAGTCGGTATCCGCGAATTTAAGCACTCCGCCTCTCGCGAGTATCCTTTCAACCGACCGCAGCGACGATTTAAATCTCCAGCACGGAGAAGCGCTGTTTACGATTATGTCGTGGTGCGATGGAGACGCCACAGTGATAAAGAAGACGTTTTCGCAATGTCTCGTGCGATTGCTTCGGAGTGCCGGGGGGTTGAGGCGTTAAGAGCTCCTCGTATACCTCGAAGGGGTGGTCTGTTGGGCTGGCTGTCGATGCTGTCCTCCTCGGGGTGAGCTGCGTTCCACTCGAGGGCGCGGAGGATCTCTGGGGGTATTGGGGGCGCGGTGGGGATGTGGGATCCCTGTGCCACGTAGCCGTTCTCGCCGGCCTCGAACTGGATGCTGACGACCTCGCCGTTTGGTGCCGTGTAGGAGGTTGCGCCCTGAGAGACGATGGCCGGGCCCTCGGGACCGTTGGCCTTGGGGCCGCCCGACTCCTGATGGCTTATGCCGTTGCTCGTCTCAAAGCTGTGGAAGTAACAGACGGCCGTTTCATTTTACTGCCTCACCTTTATACCCTCCTCGTCCCATTCGTCCTTTATATACCCACCTCCCCCCTCCCCCACACTCCCGCCCCACTATCATCCCCTTCACTCCACCCTATTCGTTCCCACCATCGCCGTACTCGCTCACCCCACCGAAATACTTCCGAAAGGATCGCACTCTTAAGCTACTCTTCGACGTCCTCTCCGACTCCTGTTGGAGTCCTGGCGAATATCCACGATATTACGGCTGAGAGCCCACGAATTTTTCTCTTCGAAACTTACGTCAATTTCACCTCTATTCGATTTTATGAAAGTTTCTCGAGCCGACACTTAAAATCTCACGTTGAAGAGTCATTCGAAAAAGATTTCTGTAATATACTTCGTGAACTATTGGAACTAATGTTGAGAAGTTCGAAAAAGAAAAAGAAAAAAAACAAACAAAAAAAAAATTGTCGTTATAATTGATTTTAAACAATTTAAAAATTTTCTTATTCTGTAACTTTTCTTCAAGTCTTTATTATCAATATACATTTACTATAATATAATATAATTTAATATTTTAACATTTAATATAAATTCGTCAATAACCCTCGTATTAAATTTCGTTAAATTTTATACAAAAATTTCAGTTAATGTATAACCATACGATATAAAATGTAAAGCGCTTAATTAAAAATAAACATTAATAAATAAATAAAATAATAGCGGAAGAAAATGTTAATAAATATGTAAATCATATGACAAAATTTTATCAGCTTCAGACAAGAATTATGATTAATTGGAATTATTTGGGACTTAGCGAATCAATTCGAAGCTTTAAAATTTACTTTAATATAATGTAACATTTTCATCGATCTAGAGTATTTTAATGTAAAACTTCTAAAGTGACATTTATTTATATAATAATTAAAATTTTAACAGTGTACATTATTAATGTTTAAAGCACACTTCACTTAGAGATAAATTAATTTTCAATTTAATAAAATGGTGCTTATTATTCATTGTAACTTTATTAAGTAAAGTACTTAAAATAGGAGAATTTAAAATAAAATGTATGCAGGATTCTATTGTCGGTAATATATAATTGTCATTCAAAATAAATTTGTAATTTTCAAATTATCCATCTTCTGAGGAATTCAAGTGGTTGGTTATATTAATTTTAGCGATATTTTTTTTTGGTGCACATTTACATATTTATTTACATCCAAATAAATTTTCACAACATGTAAAATGCCTCAAAACTTATCAAATCTATCATAAATAACCTACAGATCGTATTTTTATTCAATTACTAGAATTCTTTTTTTTTTTTTTTCTTTCTTTTTTTTTCTTTTTTTTTTTTTATAAATTGTCTTATTAATATATTTAATTTTATTCATAGGAATTGATATTTTATTAAACCAAAGTATTAATTAATATTATGCATAACTATTATAAATAAGTATGTAATATTCTACGTTCTTGAAAAGTGAAAGTTATAGAATTTTAAAGTGCAACCCGATACGTGACTTATTGATTAAATAAAAAATCATGGTGATTATCTTTTCTAACTAGTAAACGTATTAGTGGTTTAGATCGACGCTGAATTATAATTATTATGAAAGCTTTCATAGTTTTTATCGTTAAAATATCTACTAAATTATGTTGATTTTTATTCTATAATGCATTATTCGTTTCACGTAGCTATCATTATTTTTAAGTAGCGTAATTTAGTATTCGATGTTTTTTCTTAAGAACAATGGCATTTTGCAAATTTATGATGTAGAAGCTATAGACAAAAACAAATGGGATCTTAGAATATTACAGCCACAAAACGCAGAAATTGATATAATACGTTCTATTGTAATTACGTATGCATGCGTACACGCGCGCGCGCAGGCTAAAAATAAAATATTGATTTATTCTTAAATCATTCTTATGCATTTTTCAAGAGTGCTGTGGTTTGTCTAATCCTTACGTCCTATATCAATATTTGCGTATAATATAATGATTTTATCCTGCAAGCCTCGGAGCTTACGCTGCTGTCAAGAACTTGAACTGCTTAATTGAATTTTCCAAAGTTTAAACGAATAGTAAACGCGTGTGCATACGATGACACAAACACACAGATGAATATGCATTTGCGCGCGAATGTATCATTTCACGATGCTGTATTATTAATATCGAGAAATGCATCAAATGGCTGATAAAGACAATATTCTTTTTCCTCGTGCCGGCAAGTGCCTCGTGAGTATCACGAATGATTTATCAAAATGGACATGCGTGGGTGAATAGTGACTTGGACATCCGCCGGTACGAGCGAGTCCACGTAACAATACCGAATTCATATGCAACCGGTACAATTCGGCACCGCACGGAACGTCTCTAATTTCCTATCCCGTTCGATGAAAATCAACATTCCGCGAGTCTGGCAGACGTCCCCAAAGATAATCCTAGCTGACGGACGATCGTTGAGGAACAATCCCCGGAAAGCCAAGGCACGCCCTTGAGCGACCGCTCGAACTAATAACCCAAGAGCCCCGGAAATTCTCCAGAGCGGGGCTTCCTGGAATTTCAATTGCGGCTCGTGCATGCACGAGATAGAGAGACGATGCCAGCCACTCACTTGTTGACGTAGTTGCCGTCGAAGTTGACCTCGAGCTGCTGGGACGTAATAACGGCGTCCTTATCAGCGCTTACGCCACCCCCGCCAAGGAGACGCTGCGGCGCCGCATGAGCGAGGGTCCCACACACGGCCAATGTCACTATTACCTGTGGGCAAGCGAAATGTTGCATGTTAGTTGGTTCGAGCTTTCGAATGGACGCTTTTATCCTTAGATAACAATCCCGAGTGCTCCGTTTAAGTAGCTCGGATTAGCTTACGCTGGGAATAATCGCTTGGACTGTGGTGCGCGAGGCGACGATGTCTGGAGTCACGGTGGGGGTGGCGGGCCCGAAGGGGAATAGAACGCCGCTCGTTTAATAAGTATTACTCGACTTTTCAAAGCTCATTTAATTGTAATTGTAAAACATTTTTATGGCTAACGAGAAGGCGAAGAAGAGGCAAGATTAAAAATGTAAATCAATTGTTTCCGAGCCTTAAGGCTTATTAATTTACTGTACTTTAGAATTACAATTAATGTGAAATATTTCCTTTCGTAGGTAGCCTATATGTGCTTACGGACGGAGTAAAAGAAGGAAAGGATTCGGAATCTTCGACCTCATTATAGAATGAATATTTCATTAAGCATCAGCACTCTATAATGCTCTTATAATCTCTTCATATATATCATATATAAATTATCTTTAATATCATTATAATTAGTTTAACTAAGTTGTATGTATTGTCACACGCACACACGCACGCACGCACGCACGCACGCACGCACACACGTATACGTTAGCTGTCGTTAAAAATTTTAACGTACTATTATTAGGGCTTAATTTGAAAATTCGTTTTTCCTTTTTTCTTTTTAATTTTCATAAAAATAAAAGGTACGGAATACTTTTACCCCGCTATTATATATTAAAAATTAGTTTAACAGTTTCTGCTACTTTAATCTTAAAGCGCTCTGGAATTGGCTTATAAAAAGAATTTGTATTATGTAATTAATTGAAAAGTCTATTCTGATGCAAAATGAACAAGAAAGAGGCTATTGGTGAAAATTGAAAGAAAATTCGAAAGAGAAGCGGCCATAATAACGACAAGCAATTACCTATAAATCAGCGTAAAATTTCTGGTAAAAATTCTTGGAATGACATTTCTATCTACGCAGAGGTGGGCACTGAAGAAATAATTATAAGAGAGACATTGCGATAATGCAACGAGTAATTAATTTATAAGCTCTCCTACGTCATACTTGGCTTATTCGAGAAATCATTGAGGAAAAAGTCCGTTTGCCCGAGCTTTGGCCGATCGATATATTTAAATTATCTATCGATCGATTCGATGCCGAAAACATAATTGTACATACGTTCGCTGAGACAACAGGGAAAACAAAAAAATATAGGCAATCGAAACAGCCGAGCACCGCGTTAAAAAGCATCGTAGACAAATCACGGGAATTGAAAAGGTTAAAATTCATCGGAGAATCTCCCGAAGACTCTGGCGACGTACTCTCGTGGCAAAATTTTCGATCAACTTGGCGAGCACAAAAAGAATGCGAATCATCGCTCGAGCCCATACGAGGACTCGACTGCACCTACGCCTACGCCACTATCGAGACGCGTCAATTTATACAAATCCTTCTACCAACCTGCGTATTTATGTAAAGCCACACGTAGTATACGTGCTTCCACACGCACACCCGTCCATCCATCAACTCATTCGTGTATGTACGCCGCGCAATGCTTTCTTATTAAATGAAAGCAAAACCAAAAAAAACCAAAAAAAAAAAACAACAATAACAACAACAACCACAAAAAGGATATAAGCGCACGGTTTACTTTATCGCACGGTATTGCCAAATTTTCTTCTCGGCATTAGCCGTCAAAATATTTAGTCCGTGCATAAAATACTACTGGATCAATGCGACGCGACAACGACGATCAGCCAAAGCACAAACTCGAATCAATATTGGCTGGCGAAGTGTCGATTTGTCATTAGCACGGCTCGTCCGTACGTGCGTACATTAACTTATGCAAACACGCGCGTACATCTCAAAATTCATAACCATAACGTGTACGAATCGCAGAGATATTGACGTGCATCCAGTACATATAGACGTGTGTATCTGGGTACGTCACGAGGGTAAATCCACAAGATGTTAATTACAGTGGGCGAAGTCGAGGCTGCTCGTTCGAGCAAAAACGCAAGAAAGTCGAAGACGAGAAGAAGCGGCGGGAGGCGTGTCGAGGATGAGGATGAGAGTAATTTTCTCCGAGCAGGAGATAGACAAATTTGTCGAAATAATGTGCAATAACAATTCGGTGGATATGGCAACAACAATTACGTATTAGCGAAATATTAGCAGCGATTGAATACCGTTGTTATTTAAGTGAAAATTTTGAGCGTCTCGTTTGATTTCTACTCTTTCGATTCTCTAATGAGCGTTACACACGGGCAACGCTAACAACGATAGATCGGTAATTATTTGTCGCGTGTACCTCATTATGTTGATTATAATCTCATTATCCAATCGCGTTGGAAATTATTAAAAAAAAAAAAAAAAAAAAA